GTGAATTCGGCTAGGCCTTGTGACAGAGGTTGGGTCGAACCCTTGTGGCTGATGTGTAGATCAACGTTTGGGTCCCACGCCATACAGAGAAAGCCCAACTAGGCAGCAATTTGGAAGGCTTAAGTGAGTACATACACTTTATGGGCCAAAAGCCCAATACGAGCTGGGCTAATTAGATTGGCTTGAATGGGGCGAATCTGAGATATGGACCAGCCTTAAAGGATAAGGGAAAGTTCCTATCCACTCAGTAAGAGTCCAGATTTGAATATGATTCAAAACTAGAAACTCCTAGTCAAATTAGGAGGGCTGATCATGATCTACAGATTAGATAAGGACTCTACCTTATCACTTAAAGGGATCAACATCTCCTAATAGGATTAGGAGCTGATCCCTTTAGGATTATAAAAGGAGGAGGGGGCGGCAGCCTCAAAACACACTCATCTGAGATACAGATACAGCATAGAAGAGAGAAATCAGCATACAATGAGACTGTGCCAATTTCTCCCTGCCGCCGCCGCCATTAGCAGTTCATCTCCACTCACGTGGGATTCATCAAGAAGGGTTCTTGATTTCAGTTCTTTGTGAAAGAATTGAAAAGAAGCTGTGCTCACCTGCCGTCCAGTGGGTTCTTGCGAAGGATCCAGTTCTTGTGAAGAACGTTGTTGATTCTGCTCCGTCCTACACTGCGCCATCTTCAGTGGAATCAGTCTTTGGTGACTTTTTTGGGCGTGAACACCTTCGTTGGGGATACTAATTCTCCGTATCAGGTATTTCCTTCTCCTACTGTTTTGTTCAGATCAGGTTCGGTTCTTGATTCAAGATTGATCCTTGAAAATCAGTTTTCTAAAATAGGGAATGTGATTCCCAGTTGTAGGAAAGAAAGAATTTTTTGAAATACGCCCATTCTATTCCGCTTTATCCGGGTGTCCATACGATGGATCTTTCCATTCCTTCACATGGCTGGTGTTGAATGTAAGCATCTTACTTGTATGGATACCATGTATAGGGTTGCTATCTTATAAGCAGATGGATGGGTATATGCATGTACATGCAAGAAAAAGAACCATAAGTTAATACATTTCATTCATTTTTATTGGTAATTGAATACAACTGATAAAAAGAGAAAAGGTGTTAATGTTATTCTTGTTAGCAGGGCACAAATTATCTGAAGGCCTGAGGTGTGTATGTTTTTCTGAGAATTCATATTTAATTTGCCAACCTCTTTTGAGCTCAAGGGCATTCTGGGTAATAAATTGCTAGATCCTATTATCCAATTCATCACCTTTGATTAGGAAATTGGATGTTTTCACAACAGAGAGATTTTGAAGCACAATATTTAAATACTTCTCCAAATTGCTCCCTATAGCTCCATGTGAATTACTAAATTTCAAATAAATATTTCATTTAGATTTTTTTGGAAATAAATAACAAGGAAAAAAGGCAATGAATAATCCAAATCTATATTAGAAACTACCAGCCCAGGTTGGTATACAAATGTTAAAAAACTTTTAGTTTGCCCAAACTGTATTATCAAATAGTCCTACATTCCTATCAAAAACCACCAACCCAGGTTGTCACTTTACTTTCGTCCTTGGGCATATTGGCAATAAATTTCAAAGAGGAGGTTTTCTTATGTTGATTTTTCAGCTCGATTTACATCATTGCAAAGGAGCAATTGGAATGCAGGCAAAAACTAATTAAATACGTCACAGAATGCGCAAGCAGGTCAGAAATCATACCGCTGTCAGAATCTGATGGCTGAGAAGTAGAAATATCACCTTCAATGTCTCTATTTAGTGCAGCGGTGAAAGCATCTACATCTGCCCCTGAATGTATAGTGTCATCCTGAAAATACTAACAAAATATAATTTTAAACAAATAAAACTCTAGAACACTCTAAATTAAATAGGTGTGAAATGAAAATAACAACCTCAAAACGGTAGCGGAAGATAAAAAACGTTGGAAAATTAAATAAATATGAACTTTGAAAAATATGAGATAGATAACCTCGTCCTCTTCGAGGAGCTTCATGATGGAAGGATCCATCTGAACCTTCTTTGCTAAAATACAAACAAAAGGCCAAGAGAACCACTTTTTCTTGGTTGTCTGTCTAGAGGAAATTGCATTGTTTCCTCTACGATAATGGAATTCGAGGTGCTTCAAGCGAAGTCATCATCGTCGTCCCGCGATCCAATCTGTAGGTTAAAATGGAACGGCTTTTTTTTCTGCTCCTAAACAAAACCGCTCGAAAGGTAGATTTAAATTCACCAATAAATTTTAAAGCCGATACCTCCATAATTTTCCCAAAGTGAGGTCTGAACTCTGAAAGAAGGACCAACGCTTTTCTTTCCGGTCAACCGCCATGGCCAACGATTTGGAGGGAGCCCGTGATATATATAAGTTTCTCCTTGTCACTCGTATCTGCTGCCTGGGTGTAGTGTGGTGCTGAAACCCAATGAAAATGTGACAACTGTCCGGGACGAGTGTAAGAAAAAATCAGCTTGTGGGCCTTCAACGACAATCCTGGACCTCCTTTGGTAGAGTCCGCATTGGGTTCACAGAACGCATGAACCCGCCAATGAGATACGAACACGTTGTCATTGATAGGGTGGCCACGAGCCAAGCTTTTTATGAATTATTCAAGTTCGGCTCGGTTCGATTTAAACCGAGCTTTGAGTCAAATTCGAGTCCGATATATAGACTCGTTTGTTAATTGAAGTGAATTTGAGACCAGTGAAGCTCGTTCCATGAGGCTCGCAAGCCTAATATATAAATAAATAATTTTTATTATATATACATATATATAATAAATAATTTTATTACATATATAATAATATTTTTATTGTTTATGTATAATAGTGAATAATTTTTATAATTATTTTTGTATATATAATATTAAATAATTTTTATAATTCTTAATTTTTTGTCTGAAAAATAAAAAATAATAATAATTTTATACATATAATTTTTATTTTCAAAAAAGACTTGTCTTATAGTCGAGCTCAAACTTGCGAGTTATGAATCGAGCCGAGCTCAAGCTCAAGTCTCTAGTTCGAATCGAGCACGAGCCTATAATATTCCTGCAAGCCGAGCTCAAATAGCCAAGTATTCAGCTCGAAGTCACCCCTAGTCATCGGGCCTTTGGCCGTTAACTGGAATGTGCAGTTAAACCAGGCACAAAATAACAAAAAGCTTATTAAAACCCCTCTTAGTCCGAACCCTCCCTCTCATTTTCTCTATCCTCCTCCACTGAACCCTCCTACCCCACACACCAGCAAGCACACCACACCGGCCGTCGTCCATCGACGGTAAGAACTCCAGTGATATGTTCAGCCTCCTCCTCCTCCTCTTCTTCTTCTTCTTCTTCTTCTTCTTCTTCTTCTTCTTACAAAAGTCTTCCTGGTTTTCTATTTTGGTGGTCTAACGCTGCAAAGTGGGTTGGTGGAGTTGTAGGGACTAAAGGTATTGGTAGTGGGAGTAGGCCTTATAGCCATGGCCACATTGTTAGCAACAATATTGTTGTTATCAGGTGTGGGCCTATTAATCAAATGGCTTTGTTATGGTTAATGTGCTAGAAAGTTAAACTATTTTATGTTTATTTTGTCTTCTTCTAGAGCATGTACTAAAGGTCTTTTTTTTTCACTTTTTGTTAACCTGAGTTTGTTGTAAGAAGTGTATAGAAGAAGTTTCTATTTGGATTGTTCAAGAAGCCATCTTTTTGTATTACTCTTTGCAAAAAATTAGAATACGTAAGAAGAATATTTCAGCCCTCCTCTTGCTCTTTGTTGTTCTTTGCCTTACTTCAATATGTTGCATGTAAATCCTCTGTTCTAAATATTTTCTCCACTCTGCATGCACCTATAGTTAGCTGAAATTACAATCCAACACCTAACAAGTAGTATCAGAGCTACAAAGCTCATTGGAACAAGTTTGGGTGCAAGAAAAGTTGAAGAAAAATTGATTGTGAAGAACAAATCATGGCCAACACTAATGTTGTTAATTTCAACACAATCCAAGTTCCTATTTTTTATGGAGAAGATTATGATTTTCGGTATGTTAAAATGAAAACTTTATTTTTGTCTTTGGATTTATAGGATATTGTTGTTATTGGATATGATAAACCAGAAAATGTAGTTAATCTCACAATAGCTCAACAAAAAGAACTGAAAGACAAGAGAAGTAAGAATGTAGGAGCACTTTCAATGATTCAAAGAGGAATTAGTAAATCTATTTTTCAAAGGATAATGAGCACTAAAAAAGCAAAGGAAGCCTAGGATATAATTCAACAAGAGTTTCAAGGAGACAAAAAGGTAAGGGTTGCTAAACTCCAATCTCTTAAAAGAGGTTTCGAAAATATGAAAGTAAATGAAAATTTAAATGATTATTTTAGTGGATTTATGGAGTTAATAAATCAAATGCAACCATATAGTGAAAATTTTGATGATAAGAGGATTGTTGAGAAGATTTTAATTAGTTTACTTGAGAAATTCGATCCTATTGTAACTGCCACTGAAGAAACAAATGATCTCACTAAATTAAGTATTCAAAAATTGTTGGCATCACTAAAATCTTATGAGCAAAGATTGGAACGCCACTCTGAAAAATCAATAGAGAGTGCATTCCAATCCAAGCTCAATGTTAGTTCCAAAAGTCATGATGGGACATCATCAACTCATGAACATGGAAAATGAGACTCCTAAAGAGGAGATAGATATACAAGAGGAAGAGGAAGAAGCAGAGGTAATTTTGATAGAAAATCTAGTGATGAAGAGTCATTACAACGGTGTTTTATTTGCAAAAGAAACAGCCATGTTGACAAAGATTGTTGGTTTAAAGGAAAACGACAATGCCATTATTGTAAAAAGTTTGGGCATCTATAAAAAGTTTGCATACAAAAAAATAATCAGTAGGCAAATTTTACAGAAGAAAAAGAAGATGAATGAAATTTATTTTATGCATGTCGAAGTGACACGAAGAAAAAATAATGATATGCTATTCTTGGACAACGGGTGTAGCAATCATATGACAAAGTTGGGAAATAGAAATATTGTTGAAGTAGAGGGAAAAGACACAATTGGTGTTGAAACAAAGAAAAGATTAAAATTTATACATGATGTGTTATTTGTACATAAATTAAATGATAATCTTCTTGGTGTTAGACAACTTTTGGATCATGGTTATTCACTCCATTTTGAAAATCTTGATTGTACCATTTATGATCATGAGAAACATGTGGTGAAAATATGAGAATGAAGACAAATAAAAGCTTTACACTAGTGTTTAATTATGTAAGAAATGTTGCTATGAACAGGGGTGGAGCCAAGATTTTTTCTTGGGGGGGGGGGGGAACTAATATGATTACTTAAATACCAATCCAAATAAATCTAATATATGATTCTAAATATCAAAATAATGAATTCTATTATTTATCAATTATAAAATACATAATTAAGTATCTATGTAATTTATATATTCTATGAAAAACTAAAAGTATAATGAATACAAAAAGAAAAAACTCATCACTTTTTTAAGTTGGGCTCGTTCCTCTTTCATCAAGTAGAAATCATCAATAATCATGTATACCGTGAAACTTTCAGCAATTTCCTTCCCAATGTAAACAAACAAATAATCTGTGAGAAAGTTATCTTCCATTATATTGCGAAGTCTAGTTTTAACAATTTTCATGGATGAAAAAGCTCGCTTAGTAGTTGTTGTTGAAATGGAAAGAGTCAAAATAAGTCGAATCAATCTAACTTTCCGGTTTCCACTGATATTCGACATAAATCACCAATGGCAGACAAATTCTGCAAATTTGGATGGTTAGACACATCAAGCTTATAGTGTTGTAATTGATATCTCAACTTATTTTTTTCTTGATAAAAAAAAACCTAGAGGATAAAACTTCTCAACCAAATTACATATTTCATTAACTTTGAAAGATTTATAAGCATCCCTATGATCCAAAGTTGTACTCAAAATAAGAAGCTCTGTTGTTTGTTCACTAAACCTACTATTTAACTCTTGCAATTAATAATCCATAGCATATGTAAATATATCTATTCGATAATGATGTTCCACTATAATAATATCCTTTTGGTGACAAGATCGAATTATATCTGAAAAATGAGCATTCATATCATGAACTTTAATATCTTAACGTCGGAAAAACGATGTCACACTCTCCAAAAGAGCTTCCCAACCATCATCTCTCAACTTTTGTATCAACAATTTTGTTGTAGAGACTAAATGCATAGCATTAAGAATGTCTTGAGATTTTTTTTTTTGCAAAGTCTGACAAAGTACATCAGTAATTCTCATTATCTCTTTCATCACATGTAGAATAAATACAAAATCAAATGACATTAGCATTTTCACAGCAAAAGTAGTATCTTCGCGCTGAGAATATGTTGATCCTTCAGTAGCTATGTTTCTGAGAATTGAGAATGTTGCACTAAACATTCTTATTAGACTACAAATTGAATTAAAATGAGAACTCCACCTAGTATCTCCACGTTGTTGCAAAGTGTCAATTTGATTAATCCCTCTTCTAGTTTCAAGATCATTAATTGCAATCAAATGTGCAATTTCAGTTGCTTAGGTAGCTTGCAATTCATCATTATGCTTACAAGAAGCACTAACAATGTTAACAATAAAAGTCGGGTTCTGGAAGAATATGTGAATCTCAGCTATTTCTTTAGATGCAGCAATAAGAGCCAGTTGCAATTGATAAGCTAAGCAATGCACGTAATACGTATAAAAACAATCTTTAAGAAATAAAGCTTGTAGGCCATTCAATTCTCCATGCATATTACTAGCTCCATCATACCATTGACCTTGAATATTTTGAATATCGAGGTTATGACAAGATAAAACATATGAAATCCCTTCTTTAAGAGTTAATGCAGTTGTTTCTTTAATACGTACCAAATCTAAGAACTTCTCTCGTATATATCCATCCCCATTAACAAACCTCACAACAATGGTCATTTTCTCTCTTCTAGATTCATCTTGAGCTTCATCAATGATTAAGCAAAATTTTGCATCTTCAATTTCCTTCAGAATTGCACTTTGCACATTTCTAGTAAAAATATGGAAATTTTCCTTTTGAATTGTTGGTGATGTGTGTTTTGCATTTTGTGGGGCATTTTACAAGACAACTTCACTCATTTGTTCATTGTATGATGCCAAAAGTTTGATCATTTCAAGAAATTACCCTGATTTCTTGAATCTGGATGTTCATCATGTCCTCTAAATGCACATGCCTGAAATGTTAACCACCGAACAACATCTATTGACACTTTTAGGCATAATCGATTGTTGAAAACTTGTTCTGAAATTTGCTTCTTTATCACCTTTTCAATATGACATGATTGGTTTCTTAAGTTTTCATAA